TGCCTTGCATGCATGAGGCCCTGGGTTCGATTCCTCAGCACCACATAAGCAAAAAGAAAAAAGCCAGAAGTGGCGCTGTGGCTCCAGTGGTAGAGCGCTAGCCTTGAGTTGAAAAGCTGAGGGACAGTGCTCAGGCCCAGAGTTCAGGCCCCACAACTGGTAAATAAAAAAAAAAAAAAGAAAGAAATGCATTCATTACCTTGCCCATGTAATTGTGACTCCTCTGTATGGTATTTTCACAATTAAAAAAAAAAGGATAAGAGGTATCGACATTTTATGTTACTAAAGTAGAAAGATAATGTTTGAACAATAGAGATACAGAGTATACCACTGACTAAGCCTCCATTACTCTATAAGCATTTAAATAATTCTCTCATCCTCTCACTTTGCTTTTTCAATTAGATGGCATTGCACCACTTCAGCTACTCTTCCACTTCTGCCTTACTGCTGTTCACTGGAGATAGGAGTCTCACAGACTTTTCTGACCAGTCTAGCTTTAAGTCAAGATTGTCAAATTTCAACTTCCTGAGCAGACAGACTTACAAGAATGAGCCACCAGCAACCACCTGTGCAGATCCTAGGGCTTGAACTCAGGGCCTGTGTGCTATCCCTGAGCTTTGTGCTCTCCCCGAGCTTTGTGCTCAAGGCTTCACCTTCAGCTTTTGAACCACTGGCACTCAATTTAAGGGCTTTTTGTTGTCGTTGTTGTTGTTGTTGTTGTTGTTGCTGTTTTGGTGAGAGTTGGAGGGGGGTCTTTTTGCTGGTCCTAGGGCTTGAACTCAGGGTCTGAGCCTCTTTGTGCTCAAGGTTAGTGCTCTACTACTTGAGCCACAGTGCCACTTCCAAATTTTTCTTAGTTTGAGATAAGAGTCTCACACCTGTATCTTTATTTCAAAATAACAATGACCCTATATTGAAAACAAATTTTACAACTTGGGGGGTGGCAGTGTTGGAAAGATAGGAAGGGAAGGGACGGTAGGGGATAAACAAAAGAGGAGATAACAACACTCAATAGGAAATGTACTCATTACCTTACTCATGTAACTATAACCCCTCTGTACACTACTTTTACAATAAAAAAAAAAAACCACATTTAAGAAAAAAAAAAAGAGTCTCGGGCTGGGAAGGTGGCCCAGTGGTAGAGCCTTGAGCTGAAGAGCTGAGGGACAGCGCCCAGGCCCAGAGTTCAGGCCCCACAACCGGACCCAAAAAAAAAAAAAAAAAAAGAGTCTCACAGACTTTACTGCCCAGACTGTCTTTGAATGGTGATCCTCAAATCTCAGCCTCCTGAGCCACTGGTACCTAGTTATATTAGTTATTTTTAATGTTCAACTATATGCTATGAAAAAATACAAAACAGGATCTACTTAAAAATAATTGTACCAATGGGGCTGGGAAGGTGGCTCAGTGGTAGAGCGCTTGCCTTGCATGCATGAGGCCCTGGGTTTGATTCCTCAGCACCACATAAGCAAAAAGAAAAAAAGTCAGAAGTGGCGCTATGGCTCAAGTGGTAGAGCACTAGCCTTGAGCTGAAGAGCTGAGGGACAGCGCCCAGGCCCAGAGGTCAGGCCCCACAACCAGACCCAAAAAAAACAAAAATAATTGTACCAGCTGGGCATCAGTGGCTCATGCCTGTAATCCTAGCTACTCAGGAAGCTAAGATCTGAGGATCAGCCTGGGTTAATAAAGTCTGTGAGACTCTTATCTCCAATTAACCACCAAAGAGCTTGAAGTGAAGCTGTGACTCAAATAGTATAACGGTAGCAAAAAAGGCGTGCAGGGACAGCACACAGGCCCTCAGTTCAAGCCTCAGGACCAGCACAAAAAAATAAGTAATTTAACCTCTATTGTAATTTATACTGTTATCAGCTACAAGAAATCAGAATACATGTACACCACTAACGGTCATTACAATACTATCTTTGTTGGGCTAGGGATGTAGCTCAGTAGTCAATGCATGCACAGCATATATAAAATATTAAAAAATTACTATTTTAACCTCCAAGGCTACACCAAAAAATAATCTTACAAATAATTCTAAATCTTTTGGTTAAATTTTAATAAATTAACCACTTGGAGTTACATTTAGAAGCAATTAGTTTTATGGAAGCAATATATAAAGTGCTCAAACATTTATAAAGGACAAAATCGTATTATTAGTTTAGATAACCAAAATAAAAATATAAGGTCTTAGAAGACTTTACTAAATCCTCACTTTACAGAGTTCCTTCCTGCTGCATATTCATAATTCAGATGGCTGCAATAAGAGAAAGAAATGAGAAAAGAAATAAGATTTAAAAAAAAAAAAAAAGCAAACGGAAAGTGGAGCTGTGGCTCAAGTGATAGAGTTCCAGCCTAGAGCAAAAAAGCTAAGGGATACCACCTTAGCCCTGAGGTTCAAGCCCCATTACACTGGCACAAAAACAAAAAAGGACTATAATTTATTTCTTTTACCCTCAATATTTTGTCTATTGTGGGTCTTTATTACTTACCATGCCCTCAAAGCCAACTCTGTAAAGGTTTTTAGCACCATTATCCCAGAGAACATAAGCTGCACTATGTGGGCTTGATGCACTCCAGTCCTGGATTTCTGTTACCTAAAACAAGTTTAGGAAAAAAGAAAACTTTTTTAAAAATAGAGAAGTGAGGAAAGGAAGAAGTTAGTTCTCTTGATTATATTTAAATCTTAAAAATTATTTATCAATCTGTATTAACTGGATCATGAGTACTTACTTGCCAAACAAGTCATTCCTAAAATATAATTATCATTAAAGTCATATTTTTCTAGAATTATAAGGTAACTGATTTTTTTTTAGATTTATTTGTAGGGTCGGGGGGTATGAGATTGAATTCTATTCTATAGCCAAGAATCCATGATCCTTCTCCTTCAGCCTCTTGAGTGGTGGAATTATATACATATAACCCATGCTTTGCCCAGAATTATAAAGTTATTTCTACAACCACTGTAGAAATTTTAAATTGGAAGGGTGTTAGGGATTATACTAACAGATCAGAAAATGAACAATCTATAATTTTGATGCAAATTTTATGAATCTTCTTTTTTTTTTGGGGGGGGGTCCGGTCATGGGGCCTGAACTCTGGGCCTCGGTACTGTCCCTCAGCTCTTCAGCTCAAGGCTAGCACTCTGCCACTTGAGCCACAGCGCCACTTCGGGCTTTTTTTTTTCTGCTTATATGGTGCTGAGGAATCGAACCCAGGGCCTCAAGCATGCAAGGAGAGTGCTCTACCACTGAGCCACCTCCCCAGCCCATGAACCTTCTTTTTTGTGTATACACCAATCCAGAGGCTTGAACTCAAGGCTAGCACTCTACCACTTGAGCCACATTTTTACTTTTTTTGGTGGTTAAGTGGAGGTATTTGGCTTCAAACCTTGATCCTTAGATCCCAGCCTCCTGAGTAGCTAGGATTACAGGCCTTCAACACTTATTCAGGGAACTATTCTTAACAGATTCTTTTAAAAACAGCATATTCTTAGGCTAGCACTGATGGTTCATGCCTATAATCCTAGCTACTCAGGAGGCTAAAATATGAGGTTCTTCCTGATATCCTATTCAAGAAAGTCTATGTGATCCTTAATTCCAATTAAGCACCAAAAAGCCAAGAGTGGAGCTACAGTTCAAGTGGTAGCCTTAAGCAAAAAAGCTAAGAGACAGCACCCAGGCTCTAAGTTCAAGCCCCAGTACCAGATAAATAAATAAATACTTCACCAGACACTGGTGACTCACATCTGTAATCCTAGCCTGTAATCCTCAGGAGGCTGAGATCTTAGGATCATGCTTTGAAGTCAGCTCAGATAGGAAAGTCTGTGAGACTCTTATCTCCACTAAACTAACCAAAAAAGCTGGAAGTTAAGCTGTGGCTTAAGTAGTAGAGCTCTAACCTTGAATAAAAGAAGCTCTGGGACAACATCCAGGCTCTGAGTTCAAGTCCCAGCGCTGGCACAAAAACAAAAAAATACAACTGGCCCTCAACATTTGCTTAAAGAACGTTATTCAACTTAGTATATAAATTCTCTTAGTGTCACATGTATAAGATGGTTTCACTTATTTTATCTCATGTTTTTCAAAAGTAGTATGTACTATTATTGTAACAAAGCAAGAACATAAAACTGATTATTCAAAACCTCAAGAATGCCTTTTGTTCCTCAAAAACATGTCAATATAACAAAACCCCAGGAAGTTCTTTCTGTAGCTTCAGACTTTCATAACAACTACCTAAGATTTCCCATCCTTACCACATAATTAATTGCAGTAAGATGCAAAGTCATTTTTCAAAATGAATTATTTTTTTCTTTTCATGTACTCTTTCAAAAGAGGTTACAAGAAATTCTGCTATACCAAAGAGAGTAAGCTAAGAAATATGATGTACTGGGGTACAGAAAAAGTGAAATTCTGCCAGGGACATATGCCCATCTAGGACATCAAAGGAAGTTTCCAGTATAACTGCTGGACACCAGGCAGGCTGTAGTCATGTAGTTCAGTTTAGACAAACTGAAGGATCTAATCACCAAAAGACCCACTGAAATTTCATCATTTTATTAACCTGAGGACATATTACCCACTTGAGCTTGGCCCACATTTCATACATCAAGTATATCTAGGTTTGGTTTTGTTTTGTGCCAGTCTTAGGGTGCCTGAGTTCAGGGCCTGGATGCCGTCCCTGAGCTTTTATTGCTCAAGGCGATAACACTCTACCACTTGAGCAACAGCTCCTCTTCCAGATTTTTTTTTTTTTGTCGGTCATGGGGTTTGAACTCTGGGCTTGGGTGCTGTCCCTCAGTTCTTCAGCTCAAGGAGAGCACTCTACTGCTTGAGCCACAGTGCACTTCTGGTTTTCTGAGTGGTTTATTGGAGATAAGAGTCTCAAGGACTTTCCTGTCTGGTCTGGCTTTGAACCATGGTCCTCAGATTTCAGCTTCCTGAGTAGTAAGTATTACAGGCATGAGCCTCAGGCACTAGGTTACCTAGCTCGTATGAACTTTGGGTAACAATGTTCCTACTCACTCCTCTCCCACCCATTCCTTGTCACTTAGACCAGCTGAGTTCCCCCATATTCCCTCATACACAGAGACTATTCTGCTTTAACCTATTCCTAATCAGTGAGCTATGGTCAGCTTAGAAGCAAAATTATATAGCAACACACCCCCTCTGAAAATATTACTGCCCAATGCCCAGCAGCTAGCCCTACTTCTAACACCTGATATCTAACCCAAGGCTCAGAATGACACTGCCAACTGAGTGCCCCAATTCACTGTACACTCCTGTAATCTCAACACTGAAGAGACTCATGAGTCTCAGACCAGCTAGAGCTATTGCTTTTTTTGTTGTTGTTTTTCTTTTTTGCCAGTCCTGAGGCTTGAACTCAGGACCTAGGCACTGTCCTTGAGTTTCTTTTTACTCAAGGCTAACACTCTACTCCACTTGAGCCACAATACCACTTCCAGCTTTTGCTGTTTATGTGGTGCTGAGGAACTGAACCCAGAATTTCATGCATACTAGGCAAACACTCTGCCACTAAGCCACATTCCTAGCAAACTTGAGCTATACAGTGAGAGAGAGAGAGAGAGAGAGAGAGAGAGAGAGAGTGTATAGTGAGATTCTGTCTCAAAAAAAATAGAAAAAAGAAAAAATAACTACTATGACATTCCTCCATGTGACATGAGAGGGGTAACAAGAGGCCAGTGAATTGGACATACAAGTTGCCGATTGGCTGGGGTATAGTTCACAGAGTACTTGCCCAGTATGGCTAAGACACCTAGTTTGATCACCAGCCAATTAGAAAATAAATAAAAATAAAAAGTGCCTACTGTCCTTCAGAAGCAGGCACTTAAGGAAACTAAAAATAAGTAAAATCAAATGATTTTTTTTGACAGTGCTAGAGCTTGAACCCAGAACCTTGACTGAATATGCTAAGAAAGCACTCTACCGTACTCTTTGCCTGAATTTTAATAGCAGGAAAGTAAACAGCATGAGATCCTCTTAGGGAGGAATGACCTAAAGGACAAAATAGCAGAATGCCTATCTAATAACCTTTTCATAGCTTACAAACAAGCAGAAACATTCTATTTACTTGGAAATAAACAAACTAATAAATAAAAATTTGAAAGTTGTTATTATTGGTAGGAAAAAAATCAGCCAAGAAATTCATTTCTAGTAGCAATAAAAGCCTACAGAATAGGAGATTTTTATCAGGTATGCATGAGACAAGGGCCTCATATCTAAAATACACTTACAGCTCAAAAAATTAAAGTCCTCAAAAATAACCTCTCAAAGAGACAATTCACTTAATAAATGGGCTAAAGACTGAAAGAGGGACTTCTCAAAGTAAGAAGTAAGAATGGCCAATAGACACATGAAGAAATGTTCAACATCTCTGGCCATAAAAGAAGTGCAAATCAAAACAACAATGAGGGGCTGGGAATGTGGCTTAGTGGTAAAGTGCTTGACTAGCATGCATAAAGCCCTGGGTTCAGTTCTTCAGTACCATATAAACAGAAAAAGCCGGAAGTGGCACTATGGCTCAAGTGGTAAAGCTCTAGCCTTGAGCATAGAGTAGCTCAGGGGCAGAGCCCAGGCTTTGAGTTCAAGGCCGGGGACTAGCAAAAAACAACACTGAGATTCTACCTCACCCCAACCTCACCCCAGTTAGAATGGACATTATCAAGAAAACTAACAGGGCTGGGAAGGTGGCTCAGTGGTAGAGTGCTTACCTTGCATGCATGAGGCCCTGGGTTCAATTCCTCAGCACCACATAAGCAAAAAAGGCCAGCAGTGGCACTGTTGCTCAAGTGGTAGAGTGCTAGCCTTGAGCTGAAGAGCTGAGGGATCGCACCAGGCCCAGAGTTCAGGCCCCATTACTGACCAAAAAAAAAGAAAGAAAGAAAGAAAGAAAACTAACAATACCAAATGCTGGCGGGGATGTGGCCAAAAGGAAATTCTACTATACTGTTGGTGGGGATGTAAACGTGTTCAGCCACTCTGAAAAGCAGTATGGAGGTAAATATTAGTATGGAGGTAAGTATGGAGTAAATATTAGAGCATTTCTATGACCCAGAAATTCCATTCCTGAGCATTTATCCAAAAGAACAAAAACAAAGCCACACTAAAGCTGCCAGCACAAGCCAGTGCCGGTGGCTCATGCCTGTAATCCTAGCTACTCAGGAGGCTGGGATCTGAGGATCACAGTTCAAAGCCAGCCCAGGCAGGAAAGTCCGTGAGATTCTTATCTCCAATAAACCCCTAGAAAACCAAAAGTGGCGCTGTGGCTCAAGCGGTAGAGTGCTCACCTTGAGCTGAAGAGCACAGGGACAGCGCCCAGGCCCAGAGTTCAAGCCCCACGACCAACAAAAAATAAATAAAATAAAGCTGCCAGCACAACCATGTTCACTGCAGCACTGTTTACTCTAGCCAAGATATGGAATCAACCCAGATGTCCCTTAATGAACAAACAGATTGAGAAACTGTGATATATACACAATGAATTCTACTCTTCCATCAGGAAGAATGATACTGTACCACTTGTAAGGAAATGGAAGAATTGGAAAAATTACATTTAGTGAAGCCAGACCCAAAGAAACAAGTTGCATCATTTCCCTATTTTGTGATAACTAGAATATACCTATAAAATTATACAGGTCTCTAGACAGTTACACAGTGAGACCGAAGGAGGATATTCATAGAAGCAGATCACAAAGGCTCAATGGTTATGTGTATATGATCATATAAAAGAATATCTTACAAAATGACACCCAAGAATTGAAAACATGATGTTTTTGTTGCTGTTGCTGTTTTTTCTTGTTGGAAGGGTGGGGGTAGGGCACAGAAAAAGTGAGACAAAGGTTAACAAATATAGCAGTGGTACTCACTCGAAACTTTGTGGGAAATGAACAATACAGCTTGTGGGAAGGGAGGGGAAGGAAAAACTGGGAGTGTGGGATGGGGTTACATGGTTCAAAAAGAAATGTACTCATTACTGACTTATATAACTGTAACAGTACATTGCTTCTGTGATAACAATAAAATATATTTTTTTTTAATTTAAAGAGAATTTAATAATTCTTCCAAGGATGTCACATTTTCCCTTTTTCATTATAAATTGCAGAATTTTCCTAAGTTTTTCTTATTATGAAAACCCTCAAAGTAATTTTGCAATAAATTTATACTTTTCTAGAATTGTAAAAAAAAAAAAAATCTTTAGCATACAGCACTCTAGATTTACATGATGAATTAGAAAACACTCCATACCTTTCCCCTACGCCCATTTCCTCCATCTTGATCTTCCCACTGCCAGTCAACTCCTCGTACCACTCTGGCACCTGCAAAAATTCCTCTGGCTGTAATCTTCTTAGATTTTCTACGAGACTCTAACAGAACCCTAAAAACAAAATTTTTATTTTCAAGTTAATTTTCATGTAAAAGCATTGACAAAGGTGAAAAATATTATACTTACTAAAAGAAAGATGCTATATTTCCCAAGATCACAAAAATTTTAAATTAAGTCAAAATGTAAACCTAGTCTAATCACTTCAATCCTCACTGTAATTCTTCACTCCTTTATAGAAGGCAAATGCAAATCCCTTTATAACTGCCATACAAACAATATAAATGAAGGCCTAAGGAAAAAATAGCACTTACTACAAGGCTGAATAGCAATTAGCACTTGACTTCAAACCTTGGAAGACAACAGTTAGTGGCAGGACTAACTGTTGTGTGAACTGGCTAATACAAAACCATGTCAAAGGGAAGCAAGTGTATCTGTTTCAGCCAATAGTTGCCAATAACAAATCTATGTGCTGAAAGACTTGGGGCAGGGAGGGTTGTTAATCTATAAAGTTAGAATATTCAAAGATATAAAGTCCTTTCCATACAACTCAAATTTGACTCCATCAAACTATCTCCAAAGCACTGTATGAAATGAAATAGGGGGAAAAATTCACACTCAATTATCTGGGCCAGCTTTCTTTCCCCCACAGCTATCCATATCTCTAGTTTTCTTTCTAATCCTTCTCAATCATACAGCCAGAGTTGTCTTTAAGTTTTAAATTTTATGTCATTGTTCTATATTCATTTTTAGGATGCCCCTATTATTCCTTAACTTTAATTGTAAAAAAAAATAATATGTTCAAAATTCTTTAGTTAATAAATAGAACCATGATGTGTCCTATTCTAGTTATTTCTCCATAACTCAATGTATTCTTGCTCCTGTGGATAATACATTCACATGAAGGTTCTATCACCTAAAGTGAATGAATACGTCTCTCATTGCTTTTCTTTTTGGGAGCAAGGTTTGCAAGGGAGGGCCTGGTGCCCAGGACTTGAACTCAAGGTCTTATGCTCACACTTAGTTTTTTTGCTCACAGCTAGTGTTCCACTATTTGAGCAATACTACCTGTCCAACCTTTTGACTGGTTAATTGGAGATGGTGTCTTAAGGACTTTTCTACCCAGGCTGGCTTCAAACCATAATTCTCAGATCTCAGGTGCCCGAGTAACTAGGATTGCAGGTGTGAGCTACCAATACCCATCTCATTGCTCTTAAGAAGCATAATACATATTTCTGTAATAGTCCAAAGTATCACATGATAATCACTAGTGATCCATTATTTTCCTTTAATTAAACTCTTTCAGAATAGTGTTTTATTTATCTATACATCACAAATAATACCTGCCATATGGTCTTAACTGGTTCAATCAATGGGCCCTAGAGTTCATCTGGTAGCAATTAACAGAATAGAAGGCATAATGAAAAGAAAATAATCAGCCTCTCTGCAATGCTCTTCTACTTCCAAATGCCAAATGCTGTTAAGTCCCTGTGCTAGATAAGAATGGCCAATATTATCTTGCTAAAATATGTATAGTTCCACCTTTATACAGTTCCTCTCTCAGTATTCATTAAGCTCAATCCATGCCTAGCCTGCTATTTGCCACCTCCAAAAGTGTCAATAACTATTTCCTAATTCTGTTTTTAAGTCTAAGTTTAAAAGTTTGAATATAAACAAGGAGTCACAACTAAAGAAAAACTTTCTTCTCCTACCGCTCACTTCCTGGTGTAGTAATTCTGTAAAAGCGATGCCTTAAGTGATGCTTATCTCCATGATAGCACACTGTGCATAAGTCATAGTTTGTACACTCTGCACACTTCCATCGAATGCCAATGATTGGTTGTTGGCGGCAGGTATCACACATGGTTCCATCATGCTTGATGCCTATTAAAACAAAGATACATGCTTACATTGCTTACAAATATTTATCTGTATAATATTCCATAGAGAAGAAATAACTGCATTTTATAAGCTAACTAATAAAGGGGGAAGTCATATACCACATATTCAAGACAACAGATCTAAAATACTATATTCAATACAAATTACAAACTAAACATGTTTTGTTTTCATTAGTAAAAATAAAACTAAAAAAATAAAAGGTAGCACTACCTTGCTGTCCATCCACTGAACCATTAAGTTCAATGAAGAGTAAGAAATGAGAATTCTTTATGTCCATGTATGTGTTCCAGACTATAAAAACTCAGAAAGCTTTGGAAGAATCTTAACAATTTTCCAGGTAAACAATAATTCCAAGAAAAAAGAAAATTTTATCCTCCTGACATCTTTGTTCTTTCCTCATAAACACTTTCATTTTACAACAGGAGTGAGGGACAATGTACCTTGTCTATTGTGATATTAATATCACTTGCTCAATAACTTAATAACTAAATTTTCATTTTTGTTTTTGTTTTTTTTTTTTGGGTCCGGTCGTGGGGCCTGAACTCTGGGCCTAGGTGCTGTCCCTCAGCTCTTCAGCTCAAGGCTAGCGCTCTACCATTTGAGCCACAGCGCCACTTCTGGCTTTTTTTCTTTTTGTTTATGTGGTACTGAGGAATTGAACCCAGGGCCTCATGCATGCAAGACAAGCACTCTACCACTGAGCCACCTTCCCAGCCCCAATAACTAAATTTTCTAAAACAGTAGGTTGCTTGTGGCCATTCATGTCACTATTTTACAAACACACCCCGGATGGTCAAACTAAATGTTGAATAACAAGCAAGGACTATTACAATGATTCAAGTTCTGACTGTCATTAGCTACCTTTGTGCCCTTGCAAATGTCACTGTCAAAAACCCATTGTACAATGGAGGGGCTAACAATGTTCAAGAGGAAGTGTACTCATTACCTCACTCATGTAACTGTAACCCTCTGTATAGTATCTTTACAAGAAAAAAAAAGAAAAAAATAAAAATAAAAACCCATTGTACAACTACTATGTGCTAATCCAAATCACAATTTGCACAGACTGATTTTGGGGCTGGGAAGGTGGCTTCGTGGTAAAGTGCTTGCCTTACATGCATGAGGCCCTGGGTTCAATTCCTAAGCAGCACGAAAGCAGAAAAAGACAGAAGTGGCACTGTGGCTCAAGTGGTAGAGCACTAGCCTTGAGCTGAAGAGCTGAGGGACAGCGCCCAGGCCCAGAGTTCAGGCCCCACGACCAAAAAAAAAGGTACTGATTTCAAAATAATATTGGATTTAAATGAAACAATATTAACAAGGCTAAAACTGACTAGATAACTGGATAAATATTCATAACAATGTATTATTTCTAATTTTCCTAAATGAGAAATTTTCCATAATTTAAATTTTCCATAATTAATCTCAGAACTTCGGCTCCCATGGGCTGGAAATGTGGCTTAGTGGTAGAGTGCTTGCCTAGCATTCATGAAGCCCTGGGTTCAATTCCTCAGTACCACATAAACAGAAAAAGTCTGAAGTGCAGCTGTGGCTCAAGTGACAGAGCGCTAACCCTGAGCAAAAGAAGTTCAGGAACAGTGCCCAGACCCTGAGTGCAAGCCCCAGGACTGGCAAAAAAAAAAAAAAAACCTTCAGCTCCCTTTGTAGAAACCCATATGTTCTATAAAAGCAAGCAATTTGTTCTAAAACTCAAGAATGCAAGAACTGAAGTATAAAATAGTACTTTATAAAATTCTACAAGAAGCAATATACTATTGCAACTTCCTGATAAAAAAATATGTATTATTCATTTTCTATATCCAGGTACCCAGATTCCAAACATAGAGGGAAACAAACATAAGCTTGTGTTTACATTGAGGTGAAGAAGAAGACTACAGGAAGGAAGGAAAAAAGGAGAGGAGAAAGAAGGGAATGAGTACTAAAAGGAAAGCAAGATGTATACTCGACCACAAAAGAATGTATAATATCCCAACACCAAGTATCTTTTATGAATAATCCTTCTGCATTCTATTACATAAATCCTTGATTGCAGAGACAGGGAAGATAGTAGACTTTGGTGTCATTCACAGCTATTTTCCTACTCTTACTGGGAGCATGTAGAGCCTCAAATATCTCTGTCTCTCTCTGTGCCTCTGTCTGACTGTCTCTTTTTTTTCTTTTTTTTTTTGGGGGGGGGACAATCTGAGGCTCCCACTCTGAGCCCAGACTCTGTCCCTGAGCTTTTGTGCCCAAGACTAGACCTCTCTACCACTTGAACCACAGCTCTACTTCCAGCTTTTTGTGGTTAACTGGAGATAGTCTCGTGGACTTTCCTGCCCAAGCTGGTTTCAAACTAGAATCCTCAGATCTCAGCCTTGTAAGTATCTAGGATTACAGCCACTGGCGCCCGGCAAATATCTCTCTTTTGTAATGTGAAGAGATTGGAAGGAAATAAATATGACTGGAAAAAGTGAAGGTATGCAAAGACTGAAAAGTGCAAGTAGGACAATGGTAGTTCAAATCAGAGTAAGGATAAGAGAGAGCAAATCATCTTAGAGCTAGCTTAGATTTGGTGGCTGTGAGCTATAATATCAGGTGTAGAAGGAATAAATGAGAAGGTATAAACATCTTTCAGGAAAAAACAACAGATAAGTATTTGAGATATTTAGGAAGAGGCAATTAAACAGTACAATGAGCTGCAAGAAGACCAGCCATGGTGGAAAATTCCTATATTCTTAGCACTGAGGAGGCTAAAGCAGGAAGATTTTGTGTTCAAAACCAGCCTAGGCTACACAGCAAGATCTTGTCTGGAAAAAAAAGGGGGGGGGGCTTCACTGGCTAGATGGTGGCTCACGCCTGTAATCCTAGCTACTCAAGAGGCTGAAATCTGAGGATTGTTGTTCAAAGCCAGCCAGGGCAGGAAAGTCTGTGAGACTCTTACCGCCAACAAACCACTAGGAAACCGGAAGTGATGCTGTGGCTCAAGTGGTAGAGCACTTGCCTTGAGCTGAAGAGCTTAGGGACAGCACCCAGGCCAGAGTTCAAGCCCCATGACAAACCAAAAAAAAAAAAAACCTCCATTCATCAGTACATCTGCTGAAACAATACAGAGGATATTATCAGCATAATCCCAATACAAGGATGATACGCAAATACAAGGATGATATGCAAAACCTTGTAAACCCTGGGACAGCTAGATACTGGGAGCTGACTAATCTTTTAAATTTTTCAGTGGCCACTTTTTGGTTATTAATGTGCCTAAGAAGTACATCAACAACAAACAAAACAGCCACGAAGAGAGCCACTAACCAAAAGCAAATAACACATAAATTAGAACTGGGGATATGGTAGAGCACCAAGTACATACACTCACACGTTCCTGTGATCAATCTCCAGCACAAAACCAAATCAGAAGAAGAGTAAAGTTTCAGAGAAATGATAAACGAGTAAACTTTTCAAATAAAGGAAGAGGAAATCAAAGTATAATGTTCAAGAAGAGGTTTCATGTCTTAGCAAGAAGATGGAAAATAATCAGACACTTAAGAGATTAAATTAATTAATTAAATTAATTAATATCAGACATGATTTCTGGTCTACATATTTATATTGCCACATTACATGTTAGAAATAAGGTTATGTGATTTAGTATCCTAGTTCTATAACTTACTAGTTACATAATATTTAAAATTAACTTAAGCTAGTCTATTGCCTATATTATCTACAAACTGAGAAAATACTTCCTTTCATATGGATATTAAAATGATGAAGAAGTGAACATATTCTGAAGTGCTTTTAAACAAAATTAAGTATCAGGAATTATACTGCATTAAATTAATTACTTTTTGAGACAAAGTTTCACTACGTATCTCAAGATGACCTCCTACTCTAGGTCCTCTTGTCTCAGACTCCTGTTGAAACTACAGGCATGGACCACTAGCCCAGCTAATTTAGTTTTAATATAAATTTGTTAAATGCACTGGTGTATTCCTCATATACTTAAATAATTTAGCAAAATCACGACACACACAAGACCAATTATGCAATATTTATACAGAAATCAAAGTTCCCAATGTCTCAGCATTCAATTTTTTATGTGTGAATTAAACCCATTTTAACACATGATTCACCTTCTTCATGACTATTCTCTTACTACTGTATCTCATTTTTCCCTAGAGTTGGCTGCCCAAGGGTTACACTTTTTTTCTTAGTTTCTTTTGATTGTTTTCACTCCTGAAATGCCAAATAAAAATTTTATGTGCGAATAGATGACCAACCACCATCAAATATTAATAGTGTTGTTTTCTATACTTCAGCAAATTTAAATCTGACTATATCAATCACAAAAATTATCAGCCACAGGACCAACAGAATCACACTGTAAATAGAATGTAAAATAAAAACCATCAGTTTATAGCTAAACAACTCAAAGTTCAATATTCCCTAGTCTATGCTTCAGTCTTTTAGAATAAATATATAGCAAAAGCTAAATTGCAATTGTTACCTATTTACTCTTTCTTTCAAGGGGTATAAATGAAAATGACTTGGCTCTTTTCCTTTAATTTCAAAAAGGAAAAGTGCTCAAATAAACCACAAACTAGATTAACCAGTCTTAGTCATCCCTTAAGTAAGAATCTACCATATTTTCCTTTAAATCACTATATATAATCAATTCCATGTAACATTTATTTTTGAATAATAATTCTGAAATTCTATCGTTCTTACAGTAAACACAACTGCTGAAAATTTACAAAGTTGAAAGCTATTCTACCTCTCACAGAATAAGATTTTTAGGTAGCATCTGAAGCCTACCAATAAAGATCTTGAAGACCTGTCATGAGTTAGGCTATTAAAATGATTTTAAATTTTCATTAAACCACAATTTTTAAAGAGAAATGGTAAGAATCATAATATATTTTACAAGTCTTTTAAAAATTCACAGATTTGAAAACTGAAATAAATGGATTATATTACTGTAAAGCTGACAATGTCAAAAATGAAGAATTGTGCCAGATTGTACTTCCAATCAGGGCAGCGCTCTTACTAGGACCACAGTGGAGTATGATCTACTTCCTTCCACACTGTACTTGGGTAGCCATTTATAATTGTTTCAAACTGTTACAGAGGAAGTAACAGTAGCAAACTTCTAAAGATAAGGCATAAAAGTTTGGATATCAATATGTCTCTCTATCCCTCAATATAAACACCCTACATGGGCTGGGAAGGTGGCTCAGTGGTAGAGCGCTTGCCTTGCATGCATGAGGCCCTGGGTTCGATTCCTCAGCACCACATAAGCAGAAGAAACAAAAAGCTGGGAGTGGCACTGTGGCTCAAGTGGTAGAGCACTAGCCTTGAGCTGAAGAGCTGAGGAACCGCACCCAGGCCCAGAGTTCAGGCCCCATGACCAGACCAAAAAAAAACAAACAAAACAAACAAACACCCTACATATGCATTAGAGCTCTGAGCACAGTAAGCCTGGCTACCCTCAAACAGCCACAGAGGAGATATCATACAGAGAAAACACAATAGCTAATGAAGAAATGCCTTAGGAATCCTGGCTGCACTAGCCTCATCTAGCCCCAGCCATTGTATAGTAGAGATAAGCCATTCCTCACTGTGCAGTGACCAAATTCTCAATCCACAGGAGCCATGAGCAGCATACAGAGCATATTAATTGCCTTATACCATTCAGTTTTAGAGTAATTTGTTATCAACCATAGTAACTGCAACAAATTAAATATTTATGATGTTTGTTATAGGTCTCTAAAGTACAATGTACCAAAAAATAAAGAGATAAATATGATTTTTTTTAAAGGACCAAACAAAAGCCAGTGCTTAGTGGCTTATACTGTCAATCCCAGCTGTGCAGGAAGCTGAGATCGGAGGAATCACATTTCCAGGCCAGCCTAGGCAGAAAAGGCTGAGTGAGCCCTGAGTGAAAAAGCCAAGTGAGGGAATGAGGCCCTTAGTTCAAGCCCCAGTTACTGAGGGGGGGCGGGGAACCAGGGGCCGGGGGAAGGGAAGGAAAGAAAGGCAGAGTGTGATGGTGTGTGCCTGTCATTTTAACTATAGCAGGAATCATAAATAGAAGGTTCAAAGTCTAGATCAGCCTGAACAAAAATATCAGATCCTATCTCAAAAACAAGTAGAGTTAAGAGGGAGCACAGAAATGGAGGAACCAAGGGTGAATAAATGCAACAGTGGTACACACTAGACACTATGTTGAAAATGAACTACACAACTTGTGGGTGGGGATGGAAGGGAAAAATTAGGAGAGAAGGAAGGGATGACACATTGTCCAAAAAGAAATGTACTCATTATCTGACTTATGAAACTGTAACCCCTAGGTAGTTCATCTTCATAATAACAGTAAAAATATATATATATATATATGTATATATACACACATACACACACACACACACACACACTCATATCAAAAAGAAAAGGAAAAGAGTGAAGGGAGCAGGTATGGTAGGGACTGGTGAAAATGTTGAAAGGGATGACAGAAAGGGCAACATTGATCAAGAATCATTCATAAATTGCTTTGTTAAATGGTAACTCCTTTGTACAAACACTTAAAAAAACAATTAGAATGGTTTAAAAGCATGTCTTAAGTGGCAGAGTGCCTCAAGGGCAAGGCCCTAAGTTCAAACCCCAACCCAATACCTGCAGCAAACTGCTGAAGATGACGAGGGCGCACAGATGAGAGGCACTTTCACATTTTGCTCTTTGTACTTCTGAATAGTTTAAATTTGGGGGGGGGGGTCTGGTTGTGAAGCTTGAACTCTGGCCTGGGTGCTATCCCTCAGCTCTTCAGCTCAAGGCTAGCGCTCTACCACTTGAGCCACAGCACCCAGGGCCTCCTGAATACAAGGCAAGCACTCTACCACTGAGCCACCTCTCAGCCCCCTGCCATCAATTTTTTTTAAAGACATAACTAAAGATATTCAATTGTTTAGATTAAGAATAAAAACTTAACTATAGAAGTGGAGCTGGGGCTCAAGTGGTAGATGCTAACCTTGAGCTGAAGAGCTCAGGGACAGTGCCCAGGCCCAGAGTTCAAGCCCCACGACCAACCAAAAAAAAAGAGTAAAAACTTAACTAATGTTAAAAATATGGAGCTGCTTACAAGTACATTATGTTAACTCAAAAAAAATTCTATACAGTTGAAACCAAGAAAATAAGTTGCTGAAATGCTAAAAATATCATTCTATCAAGTAGTTTGCAAGGAATTACAATATAACATTTTGTCAAAAAAAAAATTACACCATACATCATACATTATCTCTAAACTCCATAGGGAGCAGGAAATGCTTCAATTTCTTCTACTTTAACACCGTAAACTGAAATAAATCCTTGTTAAAACTTTCAAAAAAGAAAAACTAGACAGGTAATTCCCTTTGTGGTTTTCCAAATATATTAATTCTAAAGAGGAGCTGGTGAGTAGGAGCATTTAAAATGCATGTCTCTTGAAATTAAAACTAGAAACAAAAACATAAGGGATCCTAAGGAAATATTTACAGAAAACAGTCCTCCAGTTAATACCTTTAGTACAGGGAATGTAGATGCTATTCAGCTCTTTTTTTTAACTCTTATACTGAGTTGTATGAAACCTATGAAAAGAAAACACATACCTCCTTTACCCTAATGTCACTTTATCTTAAGTTGTAGTCTAATAGCAGTGTCTTACCAAAAGGAAGCTGATCAAACTTCTCATCATCAGTATCAAATACCATTAATATCATATATCTACAAAATGGTTGTTTATGAACACAGTCTAAAGTAGATATCCAATTTAGTACTGTCCTTCTGCCAAAAAGAAAAATGAGCCATGTCAGTACCAACTATTAATTTAGAGCTTTATTCTGAACTAACTATGCAACTCTCAGATGAGTTTGCCAAGGAGAGGGGAGAGTATCCCTAATGCCCCCATTTAACAAAAAAGAAAAGGAAAACTGCTGTTCTAGTTACATGTTTTTCACCTCTAAGTTCATTTTCAAGGAGTGCAACAATAACATTCATGAGCTCATAATTTGTGCAGGCTTTCTCCAAAAGGAACAATTTAAATACATAATGACAACTATGTGGTTTTTTTTCAAGCCTACAATTCATGGTTTTAAAGAATACTTCAGGAAAAGCATTACTACATACAAAAGCACATCCAAAGCCTTTCTTGGTTCCCACAGTTCAAATGCCAGCAAAGCCAAGGAGCAGCTGTGAAACACACTAGCACTAAGAATGGGGAAAAAAGGAACAAAGCAACCCACTCCACTACCAAAATGAGCACTATAGAATTTTTAATGAGAATGCAACTGACTCTAAAACAAAGTTGATGTTTAAAGAAAACAGGGAAAGGGGCATTAAATAACAAGGCCAGCATTTCACTGATCTCTTATGACAGTTAAGATTGCTCTCCCCTTAAAATATCCATCCAATTCATTCTTATCTGACATTAGCAATAGTTATTCTTTAAAATTATCTCAAAATAACTTAATTCTCTAAATCTATTAGTCTTGCTGGAGAATGTCACATTACCCTAGAGAGTAAGTTAGTGCTCTCCTCCTTTGCTATGCTTTATGATGACATCTGCCACCGTTAAATGAACCAGCTGATAACAGCTTTTGACTTATTCTACCAAAACTTAAATGACAAACCATCTGCTCCAAGTTTTGATGACATCTCACTGAGTTCAAAGACTTAAGAGGATTTTCACAGTTGAAGTTTGTTAGAAAGTTTACAAAATCAGCACACCATTCAAGATCAATAACCATAGCTTTTAAGAAAACAAGAAAAATAACTCAAATTCACAAAGTACTAACTGAACTAAAATGTTAAAACCTCAGAAGCAGCATTCTCACTGCAAATGCAAGCACTTTAATACATGAAGTATTGCAATATGAAAATGAATATCTAGAAGAACAATAGAAGAGGTAATACTGATCAAGATGCATTGTACTCATAATCTGACACCTGTTGAATTGAAACCCCTTTGTATCTGAACTAGTGCTTAAATAGCAAAAGGAAAAATGTCAACAATTGTGCATTAACAAGAAAATGGACACATGTCATAGGTATACAACAGACTGATAATGAAACAGCCACAAAAATTAAACACAGATTAATCCTTCCTTCATAATGGTTTTTTTTTTAATTAAAGGTGTCAGGTGAATGTGGGTGATACTTGTAATCTTGGATACTCAGGAGGATGGAGGTTTGGAACCATCCCAGCAGTAAATTCCCCAAGACTATCTTCCAATTATGAGATCATAGCTCAAGTAGTAGAGGACCAGCCATGAAGCTAGCACGACAAGGAAGATCACCAACAATAAGATGAAGCCCAGAATAGTTTGTTCTGTTTTGTTTTTAAAATTATGTAATAGTCTAGATGTGGTGAGTAGTCCACACCTATAATCCTACCTACTTGAAAGATAGAGATCATGAGTATCAAGGTTCAAACTAGCCCAGGGAAAAAAGTTTCCAAAACCCCCCTCCCCATCTCAACTAATAAAAATCTGGGTGTGGTGGCATACACTTTTTATCCTAGTTACTTGGGAAGCATAAATAGGATCCCAGTGCAGACCAGCCTGGGCATAAACATGAGACTCTATTAAAAAAATAACTAAAGTAAAATGGGCTGTGCATGTAATTGAAATGATAAGAGTGCCTACCTATTAAACACAAGACGCAGAATCAAGACTAACACACACAAATTACAGAACTTAAAGTGTTGAAATAAAGTACAAGTATACTGTTTGCAGATACAGAAAAACATAGCAACATATTTTTTCAACTCACAAAAGTGGTTAAAAAAAACAATTGTGAAGTACACAGGGTATTACTCTAGTGTACTAACCACCACACTATGGAACTTCATGGCACATGGTGGTTAAATATATAGTAAAGCTCTATCTCTAAACTAATTCAAATGTAATCAGTTACTGTGCTATAACTGTTGATGTCACTCAATCAACCTCAAAATTCTATTTCTGACTTTCAGGTTTATTCAACTTTAACTCCAAATCAAATATGACAGAAATCAAGAAGGGTTAAAAATCTGAGATTCCATATTATTCTTCCAGAACTCTTAAACTGCTTACCTGGTTTAGACTCTCAAACTATAATTAATAAAAGCAATGCCTCTCTCAACTGCCAGCTGGCTAGTGCATTCCAAATTCCTTACTCCTAAGAAATATTAATGAAAATAAGGTCATTGTTTTATCAGTACTAGCTACCATACCTTACAAAGCTTGATGTCCTACATCTATTTTACTTAACCTGCCTGACAATCCTGGCATTACTCTTGTGGCTCAGAGAAATAACTTGCCTTAAGTCACACCTACCTTAAGTAGCAACTAAAATTCAAATCCAGGTGCACCTGATTATAAAACTTGCTGCTTGGTGCTACCAAGTCTCTCTCCCCATCTACTACTGATCTGATTTGAAGGATGATTTTATTATCTAGGGCATCATGCTCTAAATTCAGCTTACTGGATTTAAAGTCTAATTTATTAAATCATGTTCTAATATGCAAATAAATTTCAAAATGATACATTGTAAATATAAAAAGACTACTTTTTAAGTTAATTTTTATAGCTTAGTAGAAATGACTACTTTCCTACTCCTACTTCCAACCATGTCTTTTTACTTTTTCCCACTCTGCAGTTCAGGCTGATCTAGAACTCCCAATCCTCCCATCTCAGCCTCTAGAGATGCTGATATTACCAACCAGTGCCAAGCAACTCTTAGTATTCATTAAGAAAATGTAAGCCAAGTGGGTGCTGGTGACTCCCGCCTTGCCTGTATTCCTAGCTACTCAGGAGGCTGAAATCTGAGGATGGCAGTTCAAAGCCAGCCCAGGCAATAAAGTCCTTCGAGACTCTTATGAGACCACCAGAAAACCAGAAGTAGAGCTGTGGCACAACATGGTAAAGAGTAGCTTAAGCAAAACAGCTTAGGGACAGCGTCCAGGCACTGAATTCAAGCCCCACAACTGCCAAAAAAAAAAAAAAAAGTCATAAGGTACTGGTGGCTCACACCTGGAATCCACTCAGATACTCAGAAGGCTAAGATCTAAGGATTGCAGTTCGAAACCAGCCCAGGCAGGAAAAGTCTGAGAGACTCTTATCTGCCATTAACAACCAGAAAACTGGAAATGAAGCTTTGGCTCAAAGTGGTAAAGCAGTAGACCACAAGGCTTCGGCAAAAGAGTTCAGGGACAACACTCAGAGCCTGAGTTCAAGCCCCAAGACTGACAAAAAGAAGAAAATGTAAACCAAGTACAGGTGGCTAATGCCTGTAATCCTAGCTACTTAGGAGGCTGAGATCTGAGAGTAATGGTTGGAAGCCAGCCCAGGCAGGAAAGTCTCATTTCCAATTAACCACCAAAAAGCAGTAAGTGGAGCTGTGGCTCAAGTGGTACAGTGATAAAACCATGAATGGCTCATACCTATAATCCTAGCTACTCAGGAAGCTAAGATCTGAAGATCTTGATTTAAAGCCAGCCCATGCTAACAAATCTGAAAGACTCTTAATTCCAATTATCAGCAAAAATCCTGAAGCCGAGGTGGGAATGTAGCTCAAGTGGACGAGCACCAGCACCATGAACAAAAAAACTAAGCCAAAGCATGAAACTTTGAATTAAAGCCCTAGTACTGGCACATCAAAAAATAAAAATAAGTGTTTTTGAAAGTGCCTCATAAAAATCTATGATTCTTCCATTATATCTTTTCTACTAGGCAAATTATTATCTTCTCAATTTTCACAGCCCTTCGACTCTACTGCAATCACACGTAAGAAAATTATAACCATGCCACAATCAAAAAAAAAGTTGTCAAACTAAGTGTGCAATCCTCAGAAACTTTAATAATATTTAATATGATTCTTATTTTTACATTATTTACTGCACATGAGCAAAAAAATTTGTGATTAAAAAAATCTTATCTAGCCAGGCACTGGTGCCTCACACCTGTAATCCTAGCTACTCGGGAGGCTGAGATCTGAGGATCGCGGTTCAAAGCCAGCCTAGGCAGGACAGCGCCCAAGCCCAGAGTTCAAGCCCCACAACCCACAGGGAAAAAAAAATCTTATCTACTTTATAGCTGAGTACAATGACTCACACCTTTAATATCAGCTACCTGGGAGATAAGAGATAGGAGGATCTCGGTATGACTGCCTGAGCAAAAAGTGAGTAAAAGTGGTGATACAGATCTGTGATCCCAGCTACCCAGGAAAATCTAGATCCAAATCCAGGGCAAAGAAAAAAGAAAGATATCCATCTGAAAAAAAAAAGAAAATCACTAAAGCAGAGAGGAACTTGCAACTATAATCCTAGATACTTAATAGAGATGTGAAGGCTCTCCACCAGCCTGGGCAGAAAAGTCAGTGAGACTCCATCTCTAAAATAACCAGCAAAAAGCATAGCTACCAGTGGCTCACACCGGTAATCCTAGCTACTCAGGAGGCTGAGATTTGAGGATCACCATTCAAAGCCAGCCCAGGCAGGAAAGTTCATAAGACTCTTATCTCCACTTAACCACCAGAAAACTGGGAGCAGAGCTGTGGCTCAAAGTGGTAGAGCACTAGCCTTGAGCAAAAAGCTCAGGGACAGCATACAGGCCCTGAGTTCAAGCCTCACGACCACAAAAAACAAAAACAAAAACCTTCAAGCATGGCTCAAGTGGCAGAGAGCTAGCTAAGCAAGCCACATAAGGCCCAATTCATATGGCACTATCCTCCCCCCTCAGCAAAAA